AGCATGTATAGATGCAGAAGATTTGCACAGCCGGTATAGTAGTTATAGTACCAACTCCAAACGAAAAAGCATCTGAAATGACTCAAGATTCGTGAAAAAGAACGCTTGGAAGAAACTGACCCTTTTTCCATCATAGCTGTGAAATTTACGACATGTTTCAGATAACGCTATGCACTTCTTAACGCATTGAGCTTACAGAAACGGCTCGTAAGATTGCAATAAAACGCATGTTATGTTTAAAAACAGAGACGAAGCGATAAATATTTTTTGATTCTCTGTTGTCTATCTTAGTCGTACTTAAAGTAGTGGTCCTTACCGTTCTTATAATAAAACCGGCTTTCGTAAATTTCAGATCAGACTCAGAGATTGAGATAGAAAATTCAGCATAATCAAAAATGCTGGTTGATCGAAGATGCGGGAGAAAATACGGTAAGTTACGCTTGTGACGTCTGAGAAAATTATGTTCAGACCTAATAATTTTTAACTTTCAGAATTACTCTACTGCGGTTTCTACTTTCTAAGTTGACTTGCCTGTGAGAGCTGTTATGAGAATTGAAACAGCTGCATCAGCCATGCATTCACCAAGTCGTTTATCCACAGTTAATGCGCGAGAAGTCCGCTTTACGGCCGCTACCATTAAAAACATATTGTCGGTTCCAACCGCTTAAAATCTCATTCATAAACTAATAACGGAAGGCACATGTCCTCTCTTACCAACAACTAAAAACGGCATCACTGCAACAATGTCGTTGTACTGCAAGCCAAGCAGTACCAGTCCACCCATCGCACTCGCTATGCCCATTCCAGCATTTATAACTCCAAATATAGATAATATTGGCTTTGACAGCACCCAATCGAAATAGAATGTCCCTAGAATAATATACGAATTAATTGTATATAACAAGAGTAATTGTTGAAGAGATTGAGTCAGTGATTTAAGCGTTGGAACGTCAGAATCAAAAACTCTTCATATTACAGAAGTAGCTCAATTTTCACCCCAATATGCAAGTCCTTTCGCAAACGCCATTATACTGTATTTGCCACAGGTGAAAAATGGTAAGATTAAGAGACATCAGTATTACTTTTAGAGATGCCGCTATTCTTTGATCTCATATTATGTTTAATAGTGTAAAAAGGAAGTTACGACTGTGTTGAGAA